TCTGACTCGATACCTGTAGCAGCAGGTAGATAGTTCCGCAGGAGTGACTCACCAGGATCTTCGAGATCTCGGACGTCTAGAACGCCCTTGAGCATGTCCTCCCATTTCCCTTTCCTGCCGAGATCCAACCTAGAAACCAAACTTTGGCTCAGCTGGCCGTGTTCTGCAGCTACGCGTGCGACTTCGAGATCGCGGGCATTGGCAGCGAGAATCTCGTCCCTAGCGGCAGTAAGGCCAGAGTGGATAGCTGTTAGAGCATCGTTTCTCGCAGACTCGGACAGGGTGGCAAGAATATGTGAAGCTTCCTTCGCTGACTTAGCAGCATCAGAAGGACAAGCGTTAGTCAGAGACATTGCTGAATTGAGGCTTGAGCAATGTGCAATGTGGGATGCCACTCTGCCTTATTTCGGACGTGGGGTGAAGAATAATTTGGGTGGCTAGTGGCGGCTTATCGGTGGTCGGCGTCGGCGTCGGCGTCAGCATCGGCAGCATTCAGGTGATTTTGACTGGCAGCAAGCCACAGCGGGTCTCAGTTCCCAAAGCAGCAAAGCCATTAAGCCATAAGCCTTATAAGCCTTTTAAGTCAGGTACAGTACAGTACATTACCGAATCTACCGATGCAGGCGTATGTACCCGGTCCATGCCTCAACTTTGCATTCGGGAGGGCTCTCCAATTGTGGCTAGGAGCTTCTTGTCGTACCTCACGCTATGTATGTACATACCTATTTTCAATCAAGTTATTTTAAGCAAAACGTCCATTCCTGTCTTCTTCTGGCACCGTTCTCCTGCTGAAGAACCAATTCTACCACGCTTGCTAAACGACACTCCATTCAAACTCGTTCAATTCGAATGAAGATCATGGCGGTGACGAAGTTGCGCTCACAAGCAGCAACGACTCCAAGTGGGGCACTTCGTACTATATTACGAAGTTTTTCATTTCCCCCATCTTTGACCTCATCGATTACTGTCTTACTCAACCCGATGCTTTGGCCAATGTCACCAGCAGTATATAGGAGGGTTGCTGCGTTTCGCCCCATTCTCGTTCATAAGTCCGAGGAGTTGAGCAAACTACCGATAGATCAACAAGTAACGATAGGTAACCGTTCACAATGGCATCATCTTCACGCTGATATGCATCCTCCATCCGAGACTTGGAGAGGTGACAAGGGGCGGCGTGGTATGTACCTACGCATCGGTCCCCATGTATGATGTTGCATGCACCCTTCCAGAGTTGACGTGACCGAGCTTCGCTTTGATTATCGGCTAAGGGCTGGCGTATGGCGTATCGCATCTACTAACCGAAATCAATCCCAGAACCCTAGACCCGGCTCACGATCTCGGTCTTGTCGGCATTTTGCGATGCTGTTCTCCACTCGAGATCGAGCAGCGAGATTAACCAATTACTATGTAGTCCGGACAAACGAAGCTATTATTGTAGGTCCGACATATCTACCTACCTCGGAGCTCCTCCTTTGTCATAGTACTCCTCTAGCAATCCCGCATTTTTTTGGAGTTGATCTTATGCTGTGCTCGTTTAATTACCTTAACTATCCCCCTCATTCTTCCAATACCTCAAGAAGAGCTTACCATCCCTTGCCTTGGCAGTCTTTATATCTTCTATACAGTCTCTACTCATTAGCTTCCCTCTATCTTACTCCATCTACCATACGATACCAGCTGTATCGCTATCGGTCAATCGCAGATTCTTCCATGCGTGATAAGTTTCCTATGCAAATATTGCAGAAGGCATCTGAGCATGGCTGTCGAATCAGAAAAGATAGATGAGAAACCACGGGATATTGAGTCGCACGGAGGGCGGCTAGAAGATGAGGACACAACCGATTCTATCAGTTCTAGAAACTGTGACGGGGAAGAATCTATAGACGCAATTCCTGACCAGTTGCTGACCCCAAACGGCATCCTGGTCGATGAAGAAGCTGCCGTTGCTAGGTCAGGGGAACGAGCCAGGTCGCAAGCATCGTCTGCTCAGTCCAGGGCGCTGTCTACGGTGCCAAGATTGAGCCGGCGCGGCTTTCTCGCCCAGTTGACCTTTATTCCCGAGGTTGACCGACCCTACGATTATCCAAACAAGGTCAAGTGGACAATAACATTGTTCATAGCCTTGGCGGCGTGTGCAGCTCCAATGGGGTCCGCAATCTTCTACCGTAAGCAAATACATACATACCCTTTGCTATACTGTAGCATAGCAACCCTTCTCTCGTCGTGGAACACTAGAGGACTCACGTAGATGATACTAGCTGCCCTACCGGACATGTCGAAAGATCTCAACGCATCAGCGACTGTAGTGAACTTGACAGTAGCGTTTTACATGTTGGCCATGTCAATCTTTCCACTTTGGTGGTCATCATTCTCTGAAACTCTCGGCCGTCGTAATATCTATCTCTCGTCCTTCTTCCTAAACGTCATCTTCTCTCTGATGACTGGCTTGAGCGTCAATATCTCCATGCTGATCGTCTTCCGTATCCTGTCTGGCGGGGCAGCCGCGTCTGTGCAGGCCGTGGGAGCCGGGACGATCGCTGATATATGGGAGCCCCGAGAACGCGGCCGTGCCATGGGCTACTTTTATCTTGGGCCCCTTATGGGTCCGCTCTTGGCTCCTATAATCGGTGGAGTCCTTACCGAAGCTTTCGGGTGGAGGAGCACATCGTGGTTCCTCACCGCGTACGGTGCCGTCGTCCTCATCCTCGTCCTGTTCTGCGTGCCGGAAACTCTAGCGAAACGCAGGACCGCGGCCGTAGTCGAGCCGGCGCCCGCTGATGATCTATCGCGGGTTTCTACCACGCGGTCCGTCCAGCTACGCACCAAGCAGATGGCTGCGTCGCTGAAGCGGTGCTTCCTCGACCCGCTCGAGGTTATCACGTACCTGCGCTTCCCGGCCGTCGCGATAACGGTGTACTACGCCGCCATCACTTTCGGGTCGCTGTACGTGCTCAACATCGCGATCCAATCAGCCTTCTCGAAAGCGCCATACAGCTACCCAGCCATCATCATCGGTCTGCTGTATCTGCCGGGGTCCATGGGCTACTTCGCCGCGTCGATATTAGGCGGACGCTGGATCGACCGGATCATGGTGCGGGCGGCGGAGAAAGCGCGCCGGTACGACAGCCACGGGAAGCTCATCTATCTCCCCGAGGACCGCATGCGCGAGAATGCATGGATCTCCGCCACGCTGTACCCGGCCGCGCTGATCTGGTCGGGTTGGACGACGCAATACGGCGTGCACCTGGCGGCGCCGTGCGTGGCCAACTTCTTCTTCGGGGTCGGCAGCATGCTCGTCTTCAGCGCCGCCACCACCATGCTCACCGAATTCATGCCGCGGCGGAGCAGCAGCGGCGTCGCCCTCAACAACTTCGTGAGGAACATCTTCAGCTGCACAGGCGGCATCATAGGGCAGCCTCTCATTGATGTCATGGGCGTCGGCTGGCTGATGACCATGGTGGGCTTGGTCTCCTGGCTGAGCGGGAACATATGTATCTGGCTCCTGAGGAAGAACAGTCGGAAGTGGAGGGAGCAGATGGATAAGGCGCTGAACCAACAATGAAATGTTTGAGCAGGGGTTTGTTTGTTTGTCTACTCATCTCGCTGACATGAGAGAGAGAGGCGATAATAATGTCTATTTGATATTTAAAGGAGTGGGCGAGAAACCCGCGCGTACGTACGCACTATTTATTCACGACGTAATGAGACGATGCCGCTTGGACTGATGAACTTCTTCCACGACTACTTCGTACCTACTACCTACCTAAACATACCTACACATACATTCTCAAGTTACCGAGCTGACTGCTCGGTTTCTCCAAGACCAGCCTGCTCTTCCGAGACCAAACTTGCCAGTCTCAGTCAATCAAACAAACATGCGATATATTATATATATAGTGTGGTTTGTTCAAGGTCATGCGTTGCTAGTTAGTTGGTTGGTCCTTGCTACGAGGCCTGTAAACTAAACTATACCTACTACCTACCTACCTACATACACTACACCTAGCTCATAAGAATCAGACGTAACAGTCCAAATTGGAAGGAAGATGCGGCCCATGCATGCAATGCAGCCTTCCGAAGCCACAAGAACGACGAAAGACCAACAAGGCAAGGCTACTTTACTTTACATCCCTCACTTACTTCGCCTCACTCACCATCCCCAACCCCAACCCCATCTCCATTCCCAGCCCCACCACTCTCGTCAGCAAACAGCGTCCCCAACGCCTCCAGACTCACATTACCGCCCGAGAAGACGATCCCCAGATCCCAGCCGCGGTCACCAGCCTCGCGCTCGACGAAGGCGCGGAAGTCCTCGTTGTAGAGGGCGACGGCGAGGGGGACGGCGGAGGAGGGCTCGACGACGAGCTTGAGGCGCTCGTAGGCGAGGCGCAGCGCGCGGCGGATCTGGTCCTCGGTGGCGCTGTAGAAACCGGCGACGAGCCGGCGCTCGAAGATCACGCCCCACGGCACGCGGCCCAGCGGCGTGCGCAGGCCGTCCGCCACCGTCAGCGACGACACCGCCTCCACCCGCGCCCCGGCCTCGTACCCGCGCTTCGCGTCGTCGGCCCCCTGGTACGACGGCTCCGTGCCGAAGACGCGGATCCCGGTCCCTTCGCAGGAGAGGGCTACGCCGGAGAGCACTGTTTTGTGGGTTGTTAGTCAGGTAGGAGGTAGTCAGGCTTGGCCTCGTGGGGAGCGTTGGAAGGGCAAGCAAGGCAAGGATAGAAGGAATGGAGGGGAAGAAGAGGTGAAAGATGGGTAGGTAGATTGGGGGGAATTAAAGGAAGAAGGAGTGAAGTTGAAGAGGGTAAGAAGACACATGCGCCGGGACGGTTTCAAATAGTCAGTCAGTGAAGAAGAGAGCATTGAAGCGAGTTTAGCAGAGGTGAGGTAGGGTTAGTCTATTCCACTTAAAAATCATTCGCCAAAGATCGAGAGAAAAAGAAAAAGAAAAGAGAACATAAGAAACAGAGGGAAAAGACAGAAAAGACAAAAAGACACTGCCCACCCTGGGCTCGAACCAGGGATCTTCTGATATTCTGTTACTGAGTTAACAGTCAGACGCCTTAACCAACTGGGCCAGTGGGCATTGAAAATTCCGTTGCTTAGACCACTAATTATGTACGGCACCGTACTCGGTTAGAGACAAGACCCCAGGGCAGCCAGGCAAACTCAGCCACAGAAAGGTCGGCCCCATCCATACCCAAAATCGAACTGACAAACAAACATAATTCGGACCAAAAAGCATGTAGCGCAAAACGCATATTTTAACTCCAAGTATAGAGAGAACACAGAGAGTGAACGAGAGCGGGAGAGAAGAAGGAGAAGAGAGAAAATGGACGTACTACCACCACCGCCACACGGAGCCAAAATAGCATCGAGACCGAACGTAAGCCTTTTCGGTTTCGTCTCGCCCGCCGCAGCAGCAGCATCCTCCTCCTCGGCCATCATGGCGGCGACCTGCTCCTGGAATTCCAGGCCCAGGGTTCCCTGGCCAAGGACTATGTCAGGGTGGTCGTAGGGCGGGACGAGGCGCGCGCCGGTCTCCTCTACGACCTTAGCCGTGACGGCCTCGCGCTCGACGCTCGTGCTGCCGCTGAAGACGACGTGGGCCCCGTACCCCTTGGTCGCGGCGATCTTGGGCGGTGCCGAGATCGTTGGCATCACGATGTACGCCGGTATCCCGTTCGTGCGGGCCGCGAGCGAGAGCGCTTGCGCGTGGTTCCCTTGGGGGTGGTCATCAGCCGATTTTCTTCTTCTCGTTCTTTCTTTACCTCGCTTGTAGGGTCTGGGATAACAAGGGAGGGTGGATAAGATCGACGAGAATGCGGGAGATGCGTATTCAGCCGGCAGAACCCTTCCTTGGCCGCGGTCAAGAGGTCCGAGCACCACTTTCAGATAGTCAATATTTACAAGGAGATGAAACTCGTCAGCTAGAGCAGCCAGTAAGGCCTGCCGTCGCAGATGATGGCATTGCCTTGGCTAGGCCTCACGAAGCCGATTTTGTGGCCTATAACCTCTCTCAACCCGGACAGAACACCGAGCCTCTTCAAACACCACCACCAGCAAAGCAGATTCAAGACAGACCAGCTTACAACCAGCATAGCATGTCTCCAGTCCAAATACCCTCAGCTGCTGAGGTATCTGACTACCTACCTATATACTCTAACTAGTCCCGCAGCAACACATCGGAAGCAGCAAACAGCGGCAAACTCATAAAATGCGCAAACCCAGAGGAATCAAACGATGAAGGTCACAAAAAGATTCTTGAAGAAAACAAAAACAAATGAGGAAGGAAACAAACCAGAGCTGTGCGTAACAACGCCCCTCTCGGCGCCGCCCCCCGCCAGCCACCCGGGCTCCTTCTTGAGCCGCTCGATGGCGTGGAACGCGCCGCGGGCCTTGAACGCGCCGACCTTCTGGAAGTTCTCGCACTTGAACCAGAGCCTGAGCTTCGGCTTCGCCTTCTTCCCTCCTCCTTCCCATCCCCCCTCTCCTTCAGGGTGAGAAGAAGAAGGAGGAGGAAGGGAAGGAGAAGAGGAAGAAAGGTACGGGAACGGGGAAGGTAGAGAAGCCAGCGCCGACAGCGACGAGCTCGTGATCACGGGGGTGCGGTGCACGAAGGGCGCGATCAGTTCCCGCGCCGCCGCCACCGAGGCCCGCGTCAGTGGCGGCGACGTCGCCGGGTCCGCCATGTAGTTGAAGGATTGAAGATACCTGGGTATCTGGTCTGGCTTCGTCACTAAACCCTGAAAAAACGAGAGAGGATGGGCGACCGTGTGCCCGCTCCTACAACTAAGAAGCAAGAAAAAGCAAAAAAAGTTGAGAGCGAGTGAATGAAGTCCTAATTGAGTTACGCAGGCAGTGGATCTGGGTATATCATTGGTCTAATACGCATCCTTCCTTTGAGCTGAGAATACGACCAGTACTGGAATAGGATGAGGAACTTGGAGTAGCAGCAGAGTCTAGCTAGCCAAGACGCACAAGTCTACTTTGTAGAACCAGTCAAAATCTACAAATTGTTATCAGGTTCCGATAACGGAGAGGGGGAGAAAGCACTTGAGATAGTAGGTAGTCGCCTCAAGGGGGCTACAGTCTGTAGACCACAGTCTGTAGACCACAGTCCGTTAGCTCGTTGGCTGATGGATTGATTCAGAATACTTTCGTAAGGAACTTATATAGAGATGGCTTTAGGACCACCCCCTCTTTGATCTTTGCGAGAGATGATATTGGGGAATCTCAATCACAAGTACAAAAGCTCGTCCTTATTTATTTCTCCGGGGGAATATGCCTCGCCATTTAGTTTACCGTTCCGAAATGCTCCCTTTTCGAATTTTTCCTTTTTAAACGCCAAATGTTAAACTTATTTCTGGTTCTCGGGTCGGAGAGATCTGTATAATCATGTCGATTAGCCGTCAATGAAAAATCGCAGGACTCCCAATAGGGAGATGATTCTTACCTCACGGCCTTGCCGGCCTTCCAGATCTCCATGCTGCGGATCTCTTCCATCTCCGCCTCAAACTTCTGTCGGTAGTCCTTCTGGCTGTTGTACTCGAGCGATCGCTTGGTTTCGGAACCATCCTTGACCGAGTCGTATAGCTGGTTGAAGACGGGCTTCAGGGCGTCCTTGAATTTCGGGGTCCAGTCAATGGCACCTCGTCGGGCGGTAGTAGAGCAGGCCTCGTACATCCAGTCCATACCGTTGGCGCCGATCAGAGGGTATAAGCTCTGGGTTGCTTCCTCGACGGTCTCGTTGAAGGCCTCGCTGGGGCTGTGGCCACGTTCTCGGAGAACCTCGTATTGAGCTAGGAACATACCATGAATACCACCCATCAGGCAACCACGCTCACCGTACAAGTCGGAGTAGACCTCTTTCTCGAAGGTTGTCTTGTAGAGGTAACCGCTGCCGACGGCAACACCGAGAGCCTGTGCCTTCTCCTCGGCCTTACCAGTGACATCCTGGTAGACGGCGAAAGAAGAATTGATGCCACGACCCTGGCGGAAGAGGGATCGGACAGTTCGGCCAGACCCCTTGGGCGCAACGAGGATGACATCAATGTCCTTGGGGACATCAACCTTGGTGACGTCCTTGAAGATGGGAGAGAACCCGTGAGAGAAGTATAGGGTCTGCTAAATGTCAGCTTCTTTTCCCCCGTAGCTCGGATGACTCATGGTAGCGCACCTTGCCCTTGGTCAGCTGAGGCTTGATAGCAGGCCAAGTCTCGCTCTGGGCAGCGTCACTGAGAAGGTTCATGACAATGGTGCCCTTGGAGATGGCCTCGTCGACCTCGAAGAGGTTCTTGCCGGGAACCCAGCCATCACTCTGGGCATCCTGCCACGATTGACCATTCTTTCGGACACCGATGATGACGTTGAGGCCGTTGTCCCGGAGGTTAAGGCCCTGACCGTGGCCCTGGGAACCGTAGCCGATGAGTGCGAGGGTGTCGTTCTTGAAGTAGTCCTTTAGAAGTATTAGTAGTTGTCATTCTCAATGTGATCTTGGTGACTCACCAGGAGCTTCTCCTTGGGCCAGTCGGCACGCTCTTCACGGTGACGTTAGCAAATATGACCAGGGACCTAAGACCTACGACACACGTCAATTGAACGTACCGTAGACCTCCTCGGGTGTTCCAGCAAAGTCAATGGTCTTGACACCACGGACCTGCTGCTGTATGGCACCGGCCAGAACAGGGCGGGCCTTGGTAGTAGCTCTGACGAGGTTGGACCCAGCGACGAAGGAGCGTGTCTGAACGGCGGGCGAGGCCACTCGACGGGCCAATTGGCTACGAAGAGCCTTTGAAAATCCTCTTGAAGCCATTGTGAAGTCGTAACTGAGTGGAGTTGGTGGTGAAAGAAGTGGGAGGGAAACTCAATTGGCGATTAGAATTTCTGCGGAATGCCTGGGAATGCCTGTGCCTTGGGCGCAAACCACACAATTCAGAATTGAGAATTTTCTATTAAATTTTTAAACTTCCCAGGGTCTCGGGAGCTTGTACGGTACCTAACCTAAGGTCTGCCCGGTAGTACTACATCTGGTACTACTAACTTATATGTACCTCCATGTCTGCACCAAGCAAAAAAAAATGGTCGAAAAATTGCACAGCTTGAAGTTGCGACTTCGGCGGTGAGTCGAATCAACCCACTCTGTCAACCAATGGAGGGGAAATTGACCGGTCCGGCCAAGATCGATGTGGGCCTGGGGTGCATAGTTGCATGCCCATCATAGGTGCCATCGCTACACCCTGCCAGGCGGTGACGGTATCAAAGTACCTATCTAACGTTGGTTGGGTTGTAATGTTCACGAGGCGTACTAAAGCATATCGCATATCGAGACCTACATCTCCATCACACTTGCAGATATCACCAACTATAAAAGATATTAATTCATTCGAAGGACGCAAGGGACTGACTGAATGGGGTATGTACTGCAGTGCAATTCTTTCTGTTTCACCAACCAGAACCTAGCTATCATGATGCCCACGCATCCATTACCACGCATGCGTATTGGATCGCCGCCTCGGTGTTTTTAAACGTACCAAGCGCAGGGAGAGAACCAGCAAGTGATTATTATTGATGCCTCGAAGCAAATGCAACCCCTCGAAAACGCCTTGCTGTGTGTCGTCGCATGCAAAAACGTACTCTGGCTTTCTTCATTCGGGCCTCTTCCGTCCGGGAATTGTCTAAATCCCTTGCCATTCTCCGCGTCTCTCTCCGTCCGACTCAGTCGAACTATTCCGTCTAAGGCTCCTTATTAGGAGAGCCGTCTTGTGTGTGCGTTGAGGTTGTCTGGTTGTATCTCGACCAACTAGATTCTATTTGCGAGAACCCGGTCGTAGGAAACCCCACGTATCGAGCCACCTAACATCGCAGAGCGCACGTTTCTTCGGAAAGCGTCTCTACTCAGTCGCAGATCGTCTGCCGCCTCCTTGTTCAGGGGATCGGAGGCATTTGGCTCGAGGAATAGGAACTGCAGACCGACAATAACGGCGTTTAAGTTGAGGACTGGCTTCCAGTCCTCGCGCAGGATGTTCAGGCACACCTTGCCCTCAAGGTCGATGTTGGGGTGGTATATCTTCTGCTCGCAGCGTA